GTCACAGCTCCAGAGCCTTTTCAGACTCTCCATCCTCTAATTAGGATGGCCACACGTCTCAGCTGCTGCTTTTGACTGCTGCTGTGAGCTGCATGTTGATGCCCATCATTGTGCCTTAGATAATTTCCCTGAGCAGCTAAAACTAATAATCAGTGGTATTTTCAATAGAGCCTGGCCATTTAGTGGGTGAGTTCTTTAGCACTTCATTTTTTTTTTTTTTTTCGGTTGAATTTAATTTCTGGTCATGTTTCCTAATTAGGAAGATTTACAGGATTCATTTTGATTTTTTGAAAAATTCCTTCCCAGGAATGCTTATCTCGGCTTCAGCAAATGTTTCATCTGCTTATTTTACCTCTTAATTCCTGCTGGGGTTGTTAAAGCGTCAGACTTCAACAGCAGGGCTGATTCTGGGGCTGCCTCATTGTTGGCTCTTTTTCAGACCGAGGCTGGGTCTTTATATTCAAGGCCGATGGGCACAAATGCAGCTTTTTTCTCCTTCACTCCCTGTACCCTCTTGTGGCCCCTCGGCTCTCCTTTTGCGCCTTCTTCCGGTCTCCTGGCTCCTCCTTTCTGTCAAATCCAAGCTTGCCTTCCATATGCATTTCTAGGGCTCCCCTATTTCTGGCCCTAAATGCGGCTTTTAATAATAAAAACAGCTAGAGAAAATTACATTAAAACGATAAGCGATGCCATATCTTGCCTCTCACCACTTGCCTGGTTTTCCTTTCTCTTCCTATATTGTCTGTAGGTAAGATTGATCTGGTTTGCACAAATTTGCTTGGCCGCTCAGCTACTGGTTTTCCGATTATTTTCGTGCTTTCCAGTGATGGGTCTCCACTGCTCCTTTTCTTCTCTTCCCTCCTTTCCCCTCAGGCATTTCCTCCCTCCTCTCCTGGCATTCAAAGAGCTAATAAACTCAACCAGGTGGAAGGGGGACTGCAATCGCTCAGAATCCTTGGGCTGGGGTTATCCTGGCTCTAGACAGCTCCACCCAGAACACACAGAGAAAACACAAGAGATAAAGTAAATTGTCTTCCCGTTTGTTTGGTCTTCCTGAGAAAGCCGGTGACCGTGGTCAGTTGTGCATAGTTTCTACTGCTGTGGCTCTGTGCCCAGAGCTGTGATGCAGAAAGGAGCATTCCCAATGCTGGACTTGGTGTGACAGGGAAAATTTCAGGCAGAGAGTCATCTGTTGAAAGACTATGAGAGGCTGAGCCCGCTGTGAGTGATTGAGCCCACCCTTGAGAGAGGTATGGGAGAGTACAGTCCCGTTGTTTTCTATGAGGATATTTTATAAAGTCCCAGATCCATGGGGTTTCCTCAGCAAAATAAGAAGTGGATTATCAGTACAATGCCAAATACCTAGAGGGCCCCAAGAGACAATTTAAGGATGAGAGATACTGGCTTGGCCACTGAGGCAACCCTGAGAGGCCATTCCTAGTGGGAAGGGGTCAACGAGACTTTGGCCAGTTGTTGGCATAGGTGAAAATACCGTGAATAAGGGGAGCTGAAGAGCCACAGTATTTCACGTGAAATTTCCCAGTTTGAAAATGGCAGCCACTTACCGAAACAATTTCAATACTCTTGTGTGTGCTTTAGATATGAGTTAACGACCCCAGGACTAAATGATGATCAAGGTTCCTTCCCACTCTTGCTCTCTCAGTGGTCATGACTCAGGCATGATAAGGAAAAAGTTAATACTAAAATTTGTGCTGCTATTTTCAGTTTATGAAATATGTTCCCTTCACATTACCTTGAGATATAGCAGTTTATATTTTAAGAGCTGATGTATATTCAAACCTGTTGTGTTTTCTCCATTCCATTCTCTGACCACCAGCCCAGGCAACCCCAAGACTTCAAGAAAATGATGGATAGCCCCAACCCCCTGAAAATTTGAGGAGTTGGTCCTAATCTTTCCGGTTAAACTTGCTTTGTAAAAATCCCCACCTTTGAAGAAGAACTAAATAATTTAACCTGCTGCTATTCACTTAACAAAATTTGTTAAACGCAGACGCAAAAAATCCCCAGTAACCATGGACAAATTTTATTTAATCCTAAATAAAAGATTAATAGAACTGGCAGTGTATTCACAGAATAATGAATAGATAATAAAGCTGAGTTTATTTCAAGAATGTAAGGGTGGATTGGACACTAGAAATCTACTATAGTTCATTATATTAATAAGTCAGAGTAAAAAGTGAATATGGTAATAGACCTTAAGAGACAGTTAATAAAATTTAACCTCCTTTCCTAATTAAAATTGCATGGTAAATTAGTAATAGAAAAGATGGCAGTGTATTTTTTTAAGATTTTATTTTTAAGTAATATATACCCAATGTGGGGCTCAAACCCACAACCCTGAGATCAAGAGTCACATGCTCCACCAACTGAGCCAGCCAGTCACCCCGAAATAATAGCGTACTTAAAGGATATCAAGAATCAACTAGGGGCAAATGCTTGTCTGGCTACATTATAGACTGAATGCCCATGATCTTGTCCTATATTTTTCAAAAGTTTTCTGAGGTTTTGGCCAATCCAACAGGAAGAGAAAAAACTGCATTATAGGCGATATGATTGTTGACATAGAAATTCAGAGAGATCAGTTGGCAAATCATTAGAACTAATAAGACATTATCAGTGTGTTAAGATACAAGATAAATAAATAATAAATAAAAACGAAGTTTTCCTAATTTACAGTAATGAAAGATATCTCATTTGCAATAATAGCAAAAATCCATAAAATCTCTAAGAACAAACTTCACAAAAATTGTGCAAATCTTTGCAAAGAGATTTTTATGTCTTTGAAATTTAAAATACTTAAATACATGAAGAGATGTATTCCCGAATGGATAGACTCATGAATTTGAAAATTTGGAAGAAGAGAATTAGGAGAGAAGTTGCTTTATGAAACAACAAGTATATTACAAAGCTACAATGATAGAAGTGTGACATATCACAAACCATGAGAGACTATAGACTCCGGGGAAACAAACTAAGGGTTTCAGAGGGAAGGGGTGTAGGCGACTGGGTAGCCGGGTGATGGGTATTAAGGAGGGCACATGTGGTGATGTGCACTGGGTGTGACATGCAACTAATTAATCGTTGAACACTACATAAAAAACTAATAATGTTCTATATGATGGCTAACTGAACATAATAAAAAAATTTTAAAAATAATTGTGACATAGCACAGAAATAAGCAGATAGCTGATAGAAGAGACCATTGTGTTCAGAAACAGATATACACACACACATACGTTTAGTTTGTGATTAATGGTGCCACTTCAGAGTAGTTGGGAAAGAACAGATTATTCGATAGGTGATATTGGGCAACTGGTTAACCATTTGCAAAAAGTAAAGTGGGAAAAAAAAGGGTGAAGAAACCTCTCAATCCATTTACAAGAAAAAATTAGAGATTTCAAGTTTACACATTCTTCTTGAGTATATAGTTTGGCAAGATATATCAAAATTTGAGATTTCTATAATCTCCTATTAAATGATTCCTATTTATTTATTTATTTATTTATTTATTAAGACAGAGAGAGAATGCGAGTATGTGCATGAACAAGAGGGGAAGGTGGGGCTTGATCTCAGGACGCTGAGACCATGACCTGCACTGAAACCAAGAGCCAGAAGTTTACCCAACTGAGCCACCCAGGCGCTTCCAATTCCTAATTGGAATTAGGAGAACTAATTCCGATGAGGTAAATGGACAAATGCACAGAAACGTCTATACAATAAAGTTTTTTGCTGCACTTTCTAGAGTAGTAAAATGTTGAAAACCACTTAAATGTCTGTCACAACGGATTATTTCAAGTATGTGTGCAAGATATACATACAAACCTTGGACTGTGATAAGTGTACTTCAAAATGATGAAATAGATTTACATATATTGGAGTAAAGGCTATCCACAGGATAGTAAGTGAAAGAATTACGTTTTTTTTTTTTAATTATTTTATTTATTTATTTGACAGAGAGAGCACAGCAGGGGGAGCAGTAGGAGACGGAGAAGCAGGTCCTCCACCAAGCAGGCAGAGAGCCCTATGCAGGGCTCAATCCCACCACCCTGGGATCATGACCCCAGCAAAAGGCAGACACTTAACCATCTGAGCCACCCAGGTGCCCCAAGAATCATATTTTAAATCTGCAGGTTTTCTTTACCTTTTTTTTTTTTTTTTTAATGTGTGGAGCTATGGAAAAGCCCAGAAGGATATACGACAAAGTGTTTCTTTTTCCTTTTGCCTGTGTAGATTCCTTTTTTTTTCCCCCTAGAAGAGTCTCCCCATTTCTTAGAGCTCTTTATCCAGGTAAGTTCAATAGTACACCCTTGAGGTCTTAGCTTAGACTCTGTAGGGGGGCGGCGGGAAAGCAGACACCCTAGCCTAGGTAAGCATGCTCTCATTGAACCCTGTACTTTCCATACTACCTACAAACCATACTGCACTTCTTTATTTATCAAATTACCGAGTTTTAGTGTTTTGTTTTCCCCCTGGACTCTAAGCTCCGTGAGGGCCTGGACTGCGTCTGGATCTAGCGTTCCAGAGCGTACCACGGTGTCTGGGAAATAACTGTCGCTTATTGCGCCCTTACTGCATGCTAAATACTGTGGTTGGTATTTTAAATGATCTCAGTACACCCTTAGGTAGATGCTATTATTCCCTCCTTTCTGAAGATGAGGAAATTGAAAAATAGTCAAGTTTGTCCCAAAAGCCATTGGCCCCGCTGGAATTAATTCCCAGGCCTGACTCTTGGCCGCTACACTCACTATACAGTGATTAATAAACACCGAACTAAATACAACCAGCCGCGGCTTGAGGACCAGTTGCCGGGGCGTTGCGGTGGGGACTGAGCACTGGAAGGGTAGAGCGGAGGAGAAGCCCTTTAAACTCCCTTACCATCAAGATACCCACAAACCCCGCCCACTAGGACCCGCCCACCAGCCCGGAAGGGAGAGGCGGGGGCGGGACGAGCTTCCGGGGCGGGGCGGGGCCAGCGCTGGTTGGCCAGCTTCGGGCGGAAGTCGGGAGGGTCGGTGGTCCGAAGACGCTGGCTTGTGACAGGGCGGGGTAGAAGGAAGGCCTACATAAAGGTTGCCTCTCCATCCCTTCGCTCCCGGGGACCCTCGGAAAAAACCCAACACCCCGGCCCCGCGGCTAGCCCCTTCCCCCAGGCTCTCTCCGCTCGATTTCGCCACCGTTATGTGGGAAGCGAATCCGGTGAGTAGCCGGGCGGGACGGGGCGGACCCAATGGGCGGGGTTGAGGAGAGAGGGGCGGGAGGGGGTTCCCGGGAACTGCTCCCCCTCACCCGCTTCGGGCTGGGTGTTGAGTTCCGGGGCCCCGAAGATCCTGGCCCTTGCGGCTTCTGTAGTCTCTGGCTTTTGAGCGGTGGAGATGGCTCGGTGGGTTCTCCAACGCATTACCGCTTTCTGTTGCAGTTATTGATTTGACTTGCAGTGGTTTCTCCGCCTCGGCCCCCCGCCCCCGTTCACCGTCTTTTTAAACTTGGTGTTTTGCTTCCTCATCGAAGTTCCGGGGCTGGGGACCGGTTCCTCTGCCCGTGCCCCAGGTGTACCTGCCGGTCCCATCCACCTAAAGCGAGGGGATTCGCCCCCCGTGTCTCGAGTGGGCCTAAGAGGAGCCATCCCTGCCCCTCTTCCCTTCTTGGGGGGCGGTCGTTTCAAAGTTGGGGGGACCGAGTGCATGTTCTAAGCCTGTAGAGGGTGTATGTAGTTCTTAGATTTTTTTTTTTTTCCAGTGGACGGAACGGATGACCTGGAACGTCTCCCTCCTCCTTGTTTGACTCCCGTGTTGGCATTGCGTCTGCGTGTATTTTCGTCGGCTTTGTTTTTGTACGTTCCTTCAGTGTGCCGCTGTCGCAAGAGTGGAATCCGTTTGCCCAGAGTATTCCATTCATCTCTTGTTAGAGTTGAGATCGCCTAGTAACCGGGCCGCTGTACACCTTAGGAGCGGACTTGGGAAACGGCGGATCCCGTTTCAGCGGAACGGTCGGGCTGAATGTGTGAAGCTACCCCGCGTGCCGGGGTCCCTGCCCAGATTCACTTACACCCCGGTTTTCATACTCGCAGTACGCTTTGGTGTAATCAGGACTTGTGTTTCTGTTGTGGTCCCCCCCCCCCCCCACTTCTGGACTCTGTTTCCAGATGAGTTGGAGTGTTGATCAGTTCATTCTGTTATGTTTTTAAGGTTTTACCCAGTGGAAACTGGTCTCTTGGTCCGCGCTCGTTGCTTGCACCTTGTGGTCGCGTCCCAGGCCTTCCTGTAACGGGTCCTCCTCTAAGATCTTTTTTTCTTTTTGGTTCATACATGTAACCCTGCAATATCAGGCCGCATCCCAGGAAAGTAATCGCTGGTATTTGATTTTAGCAGAAATAGTGCGGAATTAATGAGAATGTGCTCTCTGCTTTGGTATTTCCTTTGGCTGTCTGTCATCAACAGTCTTCATTTTCTATCATTGTACACGTCCATGTGTGTGCGAGCACGCGCGCATCTGGCCAGTGTGTCTTCAATTTTTATTAACACTCCCTTTCGTCTTGGTTTCTCCATAACAAAGTTTTTAGTCGCCTAAGTATGTCTTGCTCAAAGTCGCATGTTTGAAATTCTTCACTATATTGTAAGCTCCCTGTGGGCAGGGATTTTTGTCCATTTTGTGTATTTTGGTACCTTATTTTGGCACTTCATAGGCACTCAGTAAATGTTCGTTGAGTTAGCAAAAGTGACTGGATTAGTGCTAGAGGGAGTCCTTTTCTCCTGCTGTTCATTATCCCTCCTCCATCACATAGACATTAGCAGTCACTGTTGGATCATTTGTATGTTGGTAGGATTATAAAGACATTAGTGAATGTCTTATAAATTTGGTTTGTTATATAGCATTATCTCATTTCTTTGTGAGGAATGCTGTTTCTTCTGACATCACCCTAATGATTTTGCTGGATTTCACTAGAGCACACTGACATTTGTTAGTAGACGAACCTTCCACATATAATCCCACATTCTTCTTTCAACCCTATTGTGCTACCCTACTGTGTCTTTTTTTTTTTTTTAAAGATTTTATTTATTTATTTGACAGACAGAGATCACAAGTAGGCAGAGAGAGAGGGGGAAGCAGGCTCCCCACAGAGCAGGGAGCCCAAGGCCGGGCTCCATCCCAGAACCCTGAGATCACGACCTGAGCAGAAGGCAGAGGCTTTAACCCACTGAGCCACCCAGGCGCCCCCACCCTGCTGTGTCTTAATGCGACTGTGTTTTCTTACTGATACTGGTTTCCTTCCTATGAGCATATTAATTCCGTCAAAAAGGGCAGTTTAGTTTTTAAAATACAGTCAACATTCTGTGTGTGTTTCTCTCTAGTAATCTGTTAGTCATCTAGTAATCTTGAACTTTTCGCTTTTAATAGAAGCAGCATCTGGACAGTTTGTCCAGCTGTGCTCATGGAATGAGGATTAATTTTAATGTTACTGTAAGCCAAACATACTGGGAATGAAAAACAAAACAAAACAACAACGTATCCTGAAGATAAATGCAGATAACTTTTGCATTACCCATCAATGGAAATTACTATTTGCCATTTCTTACCATTGAATGAGATACTAATAAATTCTACTTTGTGAAGCAAGACCACTGTGAACTGAGTTAATTGAGGACTTCTGCCTAGTTTCTCCCTGTATATTTTGATAGCGTGTATGGCCTTAATGTACTACACATGAGCTGCAGATAGACCTCCTATTGCGAATATACCTTCTGTATGATACTGTATTCTTCTCACAAGTGGCTTTGAGAAAATGTTACACTGATGCTGGCCATGGTAATTCTCAGAATTACCTCTCCATGACATGGTTTGAGTGTGGAAAATGAGCACTGAGCTTGCAACATTTCCTTGGGGGAAAAACCTAAAACAGGATAACCAAGGAGTTAGAAATTTTGTCTCAGTACAAAATTTTATTTTATCTTTCCACACAGTCATGAGGTCAGTGATATCTACTCAAGCTTTTCACTGAGCAGGCAGCTTGAGGTAAATAAAGCATAATGTCCTTGCCAAGGCAGATCTGATTGACAGAAGCAGCAGGCACACTCAGTTCTGATATGAGCTCTTGGCAGTTTGCCACCCACCTGGGGGAGGTAGCCCTTGACTAATGTCCCCCAGCTTAGAAAAGTGGCAAAGTCTGGAGAAAGGAATCAAAGGGGTGTGAAAGTCATCAAAGCAGTGATAACTGCTTTGACTATATGTACCGTGCCTTTATCCTGCCTCTCTCTGCCCTCTTGTGTCATCATCTTATTCTTCTTTGCTGCGATTGGAGTAAATAATAACTATTACGTATGAGGGAGTTTCAGTTTCCTTTTCTCGCACTGATGAAGGAAACTGAAAACGTGACGAACATCTGTAAGATTACAAGCCCATGCATTACAGTACTAAGACCTTACTTCCCGTGATGAACTCTTCCATACTTCCTTGCCACATGCGAACTCATATTATTAAAAGAATCTGAGGAGGTAGCTGAGGGAGGGGAGAACGATTTTCTCCGAATCACGCAGGTGAGTGTGCAGCATAATTACATGAGTGCCTGTGTCCCATTTTACTGCCTGCTGTTGCTGGGTGACAGGGTGATAATGAGTGTGTATTGCTGCAGTGCTTTGCCTGCTGAGCCATCTTTGTCTTTGTGATTTTTATATTCACAGCTGCTTCCAGACTCACTTGGCACTATGATTCTTACCTCTCCTTTTTCTGTCAAGCTTCTTGAAAGAATAGTCTTACACTTTTTGTCATTCTTATTCACATCTCTACCCTCCAGCCCCACCTCTGCCCCTAACACCTTTACTTGCTAGGAGGTCAACGAGAACTTTTGAATCAACACATCGGTAGTGACTTACATGACTCCAGCCTCTTCTTTCTGCAACATGAATGCACTCAAAGTGTTCCTCAGGACCTCCCCCACCCCCCTGCCAGGATTTCTTCTTTTTATGATTTACCTTTGAATCATAATCTTAATTGCACTAATTTCTATCCCTGAAATAGTCTACTGTTCACCTTTGTTTGTTCTCAGACTTTTTTTTTTTTTTTTTGGTGAGCTCCAAGGCTTCAGGTATTACTGTAGTGTATATGCCTGCCATATGTATCTTTCCGGTCCTAAGCCTATTCCTGAGCCCGCTCACGGACACCTCTCCTGGTTGTCTCTCTGACAAGTTCACAGTTGGCATGTCAAAACTGCACTACCAGAGAAACCAATCACTGATTCATTTTTCCCACTCAACAAGTATTTGCTAAGTATCTATCACATATAAAACATTCTAGACACTAGGGAGGGGCATTACAAATAGGGATCAAGTCAGAGCCTGCCCCTCAGGGGCCTTGCAGCATAGTTGGGGGAGTGGAAGCGATACCAGAGGATCTTGGGGGACTAGGAAGGTTTTCTAACCTAAGTTATATTTGAGCTAGGTGTTGGAGTTACAGAAGTGGTTCTTAGGGAAGGGCAAAGGAGCAAAATGACCACAGACCCCAGAGGTGAAAGAGAATGGCAAGTACAGTTTGGATGAAGGAGCGAAATGGAAAAGGGGCGTATCTGATGAATCTCAAGTGTTAGTATGGGCATTTTCAGAGAATGAGGATGGAGGGCTTTTGGGTGTTGGTAACTAAGATCTGTGTAGTATCTCTTCTGAGTCAGGCAGCATCCCTTAGGCTTGTGGGAGAGTGGAGGTAGAATTTGTTCCTGGAAATGAAAGTTCTACAGCAGGCATAGTTTCTGTGAAGCTGTGTTCTTAGATCCACGTATAGTCATGGGTTCATATCCTGATACCTGTCTTAGCATTCTTTCTAATCATCCCAGTAGTGAATTGAGTTCAGCTTGTGAGTAGTGTGATGTGCCACTGTTTGGTGGCTGAGGCGGTGCTCAACAAAGCATGCCCACACTGAGGTTATCTGATACCTGTAGGTAAGGTAGGAATTAATAAATTATTATCCTCCCTTTTTCAAGGAGGATGCTAAGTAAAAGTTTGGTGACCTTTCCGAATAAGGAGAGAACTGGGTTTTAAATCTAGAACTTTCGGGCTCCAGAGCACATACTGTCTCCAGTCTGACTTAGGATATGAGGACTTAAGTGGTAGAGAAGGGCCTGTGGGGAAACACACAGGGAGTCAGAGGAAAAGAAGGATGCTTGAGCGGCAGAAAATCACGACTTTTTTGTGACATCAGCTCCCATGTTT